CATGCAACGGGTACAGGACCAGCGACAGATACCAGTTTCACAGAAGCACTCCTAGTTGTGCTTAAGTGCACAGACGGAATCAATCCATTTGAAGAAGTCTGGGGGAAAAAAGACTCGCAGCTATTGAGCCTCGCCTGGCTTGTCCGAGATGTGAGAGCGCAAACGTTCAGGTTGCGAGGTCCTCCGAAGCCCCCGAGCAACCGTAAACCCTCAAAAGCTCCAGAACTCCAGAACCTTCCCGTACCAGTCGTACCTGCAGCTGCAAAAGGTCGGTGCAGATGCCGGTGAGATGATGCAGGGTATCGGTATCGCCATGAAGGCCCGAGCTGCAGATTTGCGTGCGAATTTAAAGGCGGGACTTGGCGATCAGATTTTGCGACGAGCTCCCGAAGCCGCGGACTGTTGTTGGTTTTGGGTTCCGGTAACCGGAGCTGCTGATCGAGCGGACTGAGTGCGGGCTCGAGCTTGACTGGATTTGCAAATCTTCAATTCTTGCCACTAGCAGTCGGCCAAAAGTCTATCGCGGCTGCCAGCACTGACACTTCCAGCCCAGTTGCAGAAAGGACGGTACAGAAGGCTATCGCAGTCACAGTGCACCTAACATGCCCTGGGGAATGGAAGTCGATGAGCATGCCACTTTATTGCTAGATGGGCCCGAGGTCCAAGCAGAAAGCATATGGTTTCAGCTTTCAGTTTTCTCTAGGTTCAAGATGTAAACGGTGATATTGCGCACCCTGCCATAGTTGGGAACACCATGCAGCCTGCAATTTCATGTGCATATCTTGCGCCATATGATAGAGCCGACGCCCGACACCCCACCGACGCAAGCAGGCAGGTGCGACCAAAGCCGACTTTGACTCCACGGCTGGGTGCCAAGATGATGTACATGCAGCTCCAAGTCGTTGAAAACAGGAAGGGCATGTATGTGTGTGTATTTATATAGTTTGTATACACACATACAAACAATCCCTACACCGCCTACACTAGTTCCTATAGCATTATTTATCAGAATAAACATGCCTTGGGTTCCCATGAACACACAGTATAGAAACACAGAAGCTTGTTCTGTGGTGGGGTCACCAAACTTTCGCATTGAACTTGAAGCTCGCGACAGATTGGAATCCATCCGACTGCTGCGGAAGAATGGCTCGAGACTGAGCACTCCTGTGTCGCCGACACACTCGATGTACAGCATAATAATAAAGGATGAAGGTGGCAAATCAAAAGCTCACGGTTCTGATGGCTCAAGGTGCACTATGCGCACGAAGACTCGTCTCAACCTCAGGCTTTGCAGCGACACTCGTCGCGTTGACAGCCGAATACACATAGGCTCTGTGCACAGAGCAGCAAGCAGACTACGACCAACCCGGTGTCCCAGGAACAACAACTGCTGCCGATGTGGCCATTGGCTGAGTGAGGTGATCACATGGCAAGTGCAACTCAGACAGGACAGTTCTGTGAACATGTGGAGGGTGTTGTCTGCTCTGAGCACACGGAGTGGTAGTAGTCTTTCGGCAGTGCCATGCTATAAGCACTATATGGCTGCCATGATTGCTTTCTTCGTGCTGACATTGTTGACGTTTGCGCCACTACACTGCCATTGCTGATATGTTTATTGCGGTGCTGTATCAACGATTGCATGCAATCAAAGTGGCTTTAGGCTTGCACAGCGGAGGTATTAACTGGAACTCCTCTGAGTGTTTGGAGTTGATTGCTCTTCCTGGACATCGGTTTTCTTGTTACTTGCCAGGGTCCTTACACCACCAGAACTCCTTCCGAAATAGTTACCATCTAGAATAGCATGATGCAATAAGACGTCACGTCTCGTCTGAGTTCGCTGGCCGACCTGTGAGTGTCCAAACCTGGAAATCTTCCGGATGACCACCCGACTCAAGGGCTCCGGGTCTGTGCCCTAGGCCAAAGCATGAGCGACATGGAGGTCGGAGGGCTGCGGGGCGGGGGGGGGGGTGGGGGGATTTGGCAATTACCGGCGGTTCATGGTGACGGTGTAGGACCAGTGTAGGACCTGTAGGAGTTTGGGAGATGATTCGGAAACTTAGGACTTAGCCCGAAAGACGGCAGCCGGAGGTTTCAGGTTGTCACATGTTGTCACTCTAGGTTGTTGCGGTACAACTACTGTTTCGTTGTATGAGGTAGGCAGGCTTGCTGGAAAGATCAGCGGGCAGCTTGCTCGAACAGATTGCTTGCATCTATGAATCTGAGGCAGTGAGATGACACGGTTCGCGAGTTGTAATGAGTTGTTACTGCCAGTCTCATTTTTTCGCTCTCTCTGTCCGGCTCATCCCTGAACGAATGGTTTTCTGGTCCTGGTGCCATCGACGTCAGTGTAAACTTTGCACGCTATGAGACAGCAAAAGGACCCGGTAGCTCGACGTTGCTGCTTAAGTATAGCTATATATATATAATATATATATATATTGATTGTTAGTTTGGTTCAGACCTAGGACTAGAAGTTGTGACGCGAGTGCTGTTCAACACTGAGGTTGAGAGTAGCTTGCCGCAGCACCCGATGCCCTCTCTTGCTTTTCGGTCAGGGCTTGCAAGTGGCTTGTGTTGCAATAATTGCTTCCGACGAGGCGTAGCTCTAGCCAGTGGCAGGTGGCGCTGTAGTACTACGGCATTTGTGAAAGTCCACTGAACTCCCGTTGTCATCCTGTACATCCGAGTTTCTTGCTTGCAATGTGTGCACACTCACAGATAAACACACACATATACACATACCAAACGAAGTGCTTTCTGATCAGAGTTTTTTCCCGTCGTAAGCATGTCAACATGCGGCACATTGCAGTAGCATATCAGTCGCTCTTCTAGAGTCGGGGCCAGGGATCTTCAGGACAGGAGCCTGCCATAGTTAGTCTGACGTGATCTGATGTGCCTTGCCTTGGAGGAAAAACGTGGCGCGCGGACAAAATGCAAGAGCCTGTGAGGATGCCCGTTGCAAATTCAACCTCTTCGCCACGTTTGCCTGCATTAGGATCGTGACATGAAGGATTCAGGTGTTTGGGTGGCACATGGTGGCGCATAATTACCTGGTTTCTGCAAGAAAGTGTTCTGCAAAAGCCATGCGGAAGTCACCTGGAAGCTCAAGCCTTCAATCATAAGTTTAGGCAAAAAGTTACACGTCGGCGTTCCACATACGAGCCGCTAAGTTTCAGGGCCACTGCTGTTGTAGGGGCGTGACGGATGCCATGCAGAACTCCGATCGCGAGCCGGCTGCAGCTGGGACTGCAAGGGTGATGTGGACGACGAGTTTGGCTCAGTTAGGCACCGAAGCAGACACCTGCAACGTGCATGCGCGGGTATGGTAACTATGCTTGCGCCGCTTGTGTGTTCGCAGAACTGTACATTAATACTTTATACCAGCTTGCGGTCAGGGACAAGCACTCAGGGCCGGGGCAGCTAGGGATGTGGAGAGCATATCTACCGTTCCTGGAATCGGAAGCTGGGGACAGGCTTTAAGCTCGAGCCACGGCACCTTGAACCCCTTGACCCCCAAGGTGGTTCGAAGCTTCCAGGGCGCCTCCGACGTGCGCCTGACGGCGGCAACGCTGATCCGGTGCCGAGACCAAGTGGCCACGGGCACTCAGGACCTCGTATTTGAAGTTGAGTGGTGCCTGCCGATTGGAGAAAATCTTATGAAGAAGGCAGTAGGCTTTTAGAGGCTGTTTCGGTCCAGAACGTCGCACGAGTGGTATTTACCAAGCATCAGGCAGAGTGCTAAACGCATGAGCGGAAGAACATGAGACTCAAGCTGCTAGCCAGCTTAAAACCGAAACCCTCCAACACCATGTCCTCTCTTCTTACTTGGTCCAAGCAGTGCAGTTCCCTGGTAAACAAGAAGGGCATGGAAAGCCCAAGTTCCACTTTTTCCGAGCCCTTTCAGCAAGAGGATGGCAACCTTTTGCTGTGGAATCTGGCGCCCGGGCGCCCGCGGCCTCAGAGACTCGCGGGCCAGTCCGGATCCATCACGTGCATCAAGGCCGGGCAGCGGGGGCAGATCTTGAAGATTTCGGAGGTTGGGAAGCTTTCTCGCATCTTTGCGCGCAACTTGAAAGTCTGGGAAGGTCTGTCTCACCAACGTCGGAGACCTGAAGCATCCACGCAAAACACTATGGGAACACGGCTCTTCTTCTTTACTTCAAGCCCCACATCCAGATGAACCACAACCATCGACATGTGAGCAGCCCAGTAATAAATTCAATGACAAAACAAATCCCTGGACCCCAGAAGTCAGCCGAAGAGCGCTGAGACCAGCCTTGCAAGGCGTCCGGGTCGGGGAAGACGCTGGTCTCGGCCTCCACAGATTCCACGGTGGCCATTTGGAAGATGCCTGTGCGGGGTTGACGAAACTAGGTTCGTGGCCTTTCGAATTGAGGGGATTCTGTTCTGATTATTTGCGATGTCCCTTCAGTCTCTCGACCTTCCTTCAGGTCGAGAAGAGACAGACCCCAGCGATGTTGAAGTTGCACTTCAGCCCTGTGCGCTGCTGCGACATCTCGACTGACGAGCGCTTGCTTCTCACTGCCTCGGACGACAAATCTGTAAAGCTGACCTGGTTGGCGGAGCGCCGCTTCGCCGCGGCATTTGCAGGGCACTCGAACTGGGTGCGGTCTGCATCCCTCTCCTCAAGCTCTACACACATTGTCTCAGGTGGTGATGATAAGACTGTGAAGCTTTGGGACGTGGAGCAGAAGTCTTGCCTGCAGACCTTCAGCGATAGTGCTTCAAGCATCACCTGCACTCGCTTCGGCTTGGGCGACCACGTCATTATTGCGAGCTCCTGGGATTCCAGCATCAATCTCTGGGATGTCCGCTCCTATGGGATCCGCCAGCATTACGGGCGAGCCCATGGAGGAAGTCCCATTACCCAGGTCAGGGGTCAGACAGGCTGTGCTTTGTCGAAGGGGTCTCTCAGAAAGGCTTCGACGAAGAAGTTTTTTCTCTCCTTGCAGGTGGCCGTCCACCCGCGCAGCGACCTGATCTTGTCCTCTTCCTCGGACCGACAGCTGCGAGTTTGGGATCTCCGCGCAGGGAAGCTTTGCTGCACTGTTCTTGGCCACGAGCGCCCAGTGCATTCCTGTGGCTTCGATGAAGCCGGGGACCATTTCCTCAGCTGCGACAGCGAGATGGTCCTCTATTGGCCCCTTTTCTGCAAACCCACCCTGTTGTAGCAGCTCCAAGCTCTGGAAACGTCGCTCTTCTCATGCCCATGGCTGTTGGGCTTGCATAACCCAGAGGGCCGAAGCCATCCCATACCCAAACGTCCCGCGTGAGCATCCCAAGCCAAGCCTTTGAGCTCGTGACCAAAATCAGGAAAGCCGCCATACCCGACTGCCCCACCCTCAGGTCCTGTCCACCATTGGCAGCTCCCTGCCCTCCGGCGCAGCCAGAGCCTACTCCCAGCTCTCTCGAGGCTGATGCCCTGAACCTCCCGACGCTGGGCCAAGAAGATGGTTTTGACTGTCAAAAGGGTGCGAAAAGGAAGGGGCACAATCATTCTTGATTGCTCCATTACAGGTAGACTTATCGACGACCAGAGGCTGAAATTCAGGTGGGGCGGTTGAACCTTCGAAGCTCTTGGGCAGACTCCCATCAGTAAATGTCCACAGCAGCCGTGCAGAGTGGGCCTTTGCCTGTTCTGAGTTACATATATCAAACATACATTGTGTACTGGGCGAAGCCAAGCACGAGGTCCACATTGCGGAGCCCAGCACCTAAGGCTCAAGTATCACTCATATGCCCCTTTCCGCCCAGCTTCTTTGAGACCGGGTGTTGCTCCATTTCATTCCATTTCTCAGCCAAGGAGTTCCGCGCCCCGGATCGACGGCCCGGTATCCGAAGGCAGAAGCGCCGAGGCTTCCGACCCTCTCTTGGCAGGGCAGGCCGCGGTTGAGGGATGCTTTGAGATGCTTTGCATTTCCTTGTGGGTGGGGGGAGAGTGGAGTTTCTTCCGCAAGATCGCGTGGAAGCTCTTGTGACTTTGCAGCAGTTCGGTCGGTCTTATGTTTTGGTGCAGCCTCTGGTGACCTTTGATGGCCGCTGCATGTTCCTTCACGGCAGTGACAAACTCCGGCTCTCACTTTGGATCGGAGGGTCACGGTGGGTCCTGACGGAGCAGAGGCTGCTGGAAGATTTCAGGAGTGATGCGTTTCGCATGATCTCCTCCCGTGCATTTGCAACCATTCCATGCCAAAGGAAATTGAAGCTCGACCCAACCGCCAGCACGCGGTCGAAGAGTACTGTAGTTAGCAACAGAGACAGACAAGTTCCGAAAGAATGAGTTGCCAAGCAGTGCGAGGCAGCCCGATCGACGCAGGCCGAGGTGCCCAGGAGCCGAAAGGCTCCGAAGGAGGACGGGCAAAGATGTCAGGGCTACTGTAGGGTCCGGCTTGAGCCGAGGGCTTGCGATGACCATGGGTTCAGTAGCTAGCATGCTGCTCTGCTACCTATCGGCCTTGAGCTAATCTGGCATTGATGATGAAAGCTAGGGTGAGGGTGATGACCACGAAGACAAGTGTTGTGATGGCGACAGGTCCTTAGGACTGCAAAGTCTCTGCTGTGCCATTTCTCCCAGCGGTTTTTTTGCAAAACCTAAAAATAATCACCGTCATCATCAATAATCATCATAATAATCATAATAATAATAATAGTAATACTAATGATAGCCATCATCATCATCATCATACTGGTCAGATTCGAGCGCCTCCGGGAGGCGCTGCCGGAGGTCGTGGCTCGAACGGTGGAGAAGATGGTCACCGACATGGCCTCTCTTCACCAAAACGGGATCTTAGAGAGGGAGTTCGAAACGGGGGGTTTAGGGTTTAGGGTTTAGGAACTGCTAGGGCTGCTTGCTCCAACTCCGGGCGAAGTGGAAAGCCTGTTGCAAAAGGGTTTCACCAACACGGGAATTTAGCGAAAGGGGGCCTCAGGTTCAGACTAGCCTCGATTGTTGATCGCGAATCGTATACAGGGGCCGTAAGCCAAACATGTCAGCCAACCAAGACCAATAGCTAATGTTTTTGAAGTGCTACTTTAGGGCTGCTAGGGCTGACTCGACAGGACCTTTAGAACCAAAACCCCTGGACTCTGTTGCGAAGAGGTTTTGGCTAGGCAATCAGAATGAGATGTGCTGGCGTGAGGTGCCAGCCACGTCGAAAAGGAGTAACTCGTTTTATGTCGCCCAGACAAGAGTTCATCCCTGTGTCCACCGAGGACACCTTGACGGCCACGCTTGCAGCACTGGAAGCTCGGATGACTCGTACAGAGGTGTGGCATGATCGGGTATAAGTCACTTCTCATGCTAGCTTAGCGCCGGGACAATTGGCCCCGGACAAACCGCCGCTGTCTCATCATTCAGTTAAGTTGCGTTCGAAGCCAAAGCTACGGCGGAGGATGATGATGTTCATGTTTTGGGAGCAGATATTGCCCGCTATGCTTTACTTAATCGCCAAATCCTGCGACTCCACCTTGACCAGCTTGGGGGCCTGTGAAGATGCTATAGGTTGTTAAGCGGCAAATGTCCATGATACCAGTGCTTCTCTCCGACCATTCTTGGAGTTTCTCGATGCTGCATCAACAAATGCCCATGCGCTGGAACTGCACGGGGCACCTCGCAGAACATAGCCGATCCTTGAGATCCTAGTTTGCGGTGCTGATGGCCGTGACAAGTAAGCTGGTGGTTGCAGCGCGCATCACGTTAGCAATGCTGGCTTTCGGAATGTTGCTGTACCCATCCTCTCTCCGACACAACCGGCAGGCCATCACGGCTGAGGTGGTGCAGCTGCTGCGGGCCCAGCCCGAGACCACACTGGAGGCAGAAATCTAACCTTCTTAGTTTAAACCCTGCATTAGTCGAATGATCTAGAGGCTGTTGTTCAGCGCATTGGCTTGAAGAAAATCCATTCAGCTCCCATATTGCCCCTAATGCAGCTGCGCGGTGTCTGTGTTCCGGCACTGTAGCAGGTAGTCCATCTTGTGGCAGGTCCCGGCTGCACAGAGTGAGAAAGCGGCAATTCCGAGTGCTTGAAGATGTGATGTGATGCCGGACACCAAGCAATCCTACAGGGCAACCGTGCTTTTCTCAGTTGTAGCTTTCACTGATTTCACTGGCAGTCACCTGGTTGGCTTAGGGGTCTTGGTCGTCGCTCTTTGTGTGTTTACTTGGGGTTTCCTGGGACGGGGGACTGCAATGTCAGTCAGGCGGCAACAACCGTCGCTGCGAGAAGATGTTCAGAAAAGTGCGCGCTCTTTTCAATGCATGTCAGAGCCGCTTTGGCCAGATTTTGCACATGTCGCTTGATTCAGCCGTCTCTGTGCTCTAGAACACACAAGTAGCAGCCATAGCAGCAAAAGGCCTCCAGCGGGCTTGCTGCTTCATTGAGGAGGTCAACCCTCGCATGATCTAACCTGGTTGTAGAAGCACCCACCAGGCATCACGAGGCTGGGCAGTGTAAGCGCGGACGGTGTAACCCTGCATAGTCCTACAGGGCAGATACCTCAAAACCCAACACCAACTGCGGACGCGTCGCTGCACCATGTCCATGGGCAAGGCCATTGGTAACAGCTGACATGCGCACGAACCTTTGGGCTGACGCTTGCATGCCGCCAGGCCCACCGCAGGGCTTTGAATGCATCCAGGCCAGCTCAAGGGACATGCACATGAACCTAAGGTGCCGGAGGTATAGATCAAGGCCGCAGACCTCCGCACCCAATCTCGAACCGCCTCGAAAGTTGATATCATTTATTCCTTCCTGTGCTCTGTCCTTTCCCAGTTCCCTTTGCCTTTGTTCTGTGCCCAAGTCTATATACTCCTGTCAAAACGAACACAAGCTCTGCTCAGCCTGGGTTCTATTGTGGTTGGGGCATTGCGGCATCGCGACTCACTGCGAAACTTCATGGCAACCATTGCGCTCCAAACCCATCCTGCGCATGCGACTTCTCGATGCCTCTTGGCCTAGTCGCTGATGATTCACCTGCTGGTCGACATTTGGCGACTCAGAGCCACCAAACCTTCTGAAGCACGCTTCCTCATGCCCGCGTGTACTTTACTGAGCTCTCAGCATGCTGCGAGGAGTGGATACGGATTGATAGATCCTGTTGGTTTGATCCATAAGGTCTTCTCGCTCATTCCTGCGGAGGGCGGCACAATGACCCGACCTCAGGTGCAGTGAGCAGAGATGCAATTTGGATTTGTTGGAGTAGAGGATGCGCAAGTTCAGGACAGTCCTTGTGGCCTGCAGCTGGACTTGGGTACAAGGGTGCTATGCTTCCGGAATTCGGCTAAGTTCATGGCCGCAGCTTCTGCACTGCTTGACCCTCTAAAAGCACGGAAGTCCTTGATTCAGCTTGCATAGAAATCGAGCTCGAGCATGCCTGCGTCTATCGGAGACCGGACCAAAATCGGGGGCCCAAGCATGATATCTTCGGACTTATCAGCCGAAGCCCAGAAACCAGGGAGGCCTCCCAGCATTGATTGACCCACACTGACTCCAGCTGCATTTTTAAAGCTTGAAGATGCCTGAAGGCCCTAAATCTAGCCGCGTCTAGCAGCCATGGCCTGGCTGACAGACCTGTTCACTCCCATCATGCCATGGAACTGCACCCCAGATTGCACTCAGCCAAAAGTCGTCTTTGTTTTTGGGCTAGAGGTTTTGAACGTGAGGGCCGTGAGGGCTTGAAATCATGTCTGGCTGCTTTCTCGTGCACAAGAACATGTACAAATCCCAGAGACGGCCAGCTGTCCCAGATTCTCCCCGACCATCCATGCATGTTGTTGATCAGAGTGGAGGATCAGGCATCAGCTCACCGTTGAGTGCCAGTGTTTGCCTTCCTCGCAAGTCCCTGGCCGTCATGCATGCTGCTGACTGAAGGCTCCCTCTAACATGGCTGCCACACCGCTATAGCCTCACAGCTTATGCAAGGCTGAATTTTCACGCGGAGCATAATTTCATGGGAAATTTGGCTTGGCCCACATGTCGTTCTCCCCGAAGATGCTCGGATTTGCACCTGCATATCTATCTCAGGGTCGGGCAGGTGCGCTGGCACGTATTATCCGTGTATATGCGTAAGAGTCGCCAGAGTGGGTCCAAGTCTGTGAACTCAATCAAAGTCAGGTACCAACGTCGAGGGCACCCCGATGCTGATTCCAAGCTACCGAACGTGGCAAACGAGGACTTTTCTCGCCGCTCTTGGGACGGCAACGGTGTTAGGGTTGATGGGAGTTGCTTTTCACATCGAGGCTCTCATGCCAAGGCATTGGCAAGGAACAAGGGATGTGGCGCATTGAGGGCTTGAAGCTTGGACAGGGTGAGCTGGCGAGGCTCCGCCGATCCATTTGCGAATTTCTGTGGCTAGATCTAGACACCTTCGCTTGAAAAAAGGCTTGCATGTTGCATGCAGAGAATGCAGAGGTGGTCAGCTTATGGTCGTTAGCATATGGAATGTTGTTGCAGCAGGTCGCGCTGAGTAAGCAAACGGAGAAGATCGGAGAAGCCTTTGTGTACCCTCGGCTTAAACCACTAGGCCACCTGCTCTTGCAGGATGACATGTCGAGATGAGTCCCTCTGTTTGTTTTTGGCTTCAACAGGCCCCGAACTTTCAGATCAGTGTAAGACTAAGAGGTTCGGCTCCAGCAGAAGATGCCCCACGAACTGCTACAGCATTCTTCAGCGGCTGCTCAAGACGGCCGTACCAAAGCCATTGTGGCATGAGTGAGTTGCGGACGAAGAAATGCCGAATCCTTCCTGCTCCTTGTCCTAAACCACCAAAGATATAGAATCCTTTCTTCAACCTTGAAGGGATCCCAAAGAACCCAGACAAGGCTGGCCAGTGGCGAAGGCCTAGGCCTAAGCCAAACCCCTGAACCACAACGCTCCATCACCACTCCCGGCTCTATGTTCGCTCTGAGGCCTCCTTGGCGGGCGTTCTCTACTTTGTGTGGCTCCGACAATGAATAAATACATGAGTGTATATCTATATCTGTATACATATCAGTGTAAATAATCTCTATATATATATATTTTTTCTTAATTTATTTAGTTATGTACACACATGTGTGCATGCACATGTGCACGCACACACATTGCAGTGCACTGCTTGATTCATCCCTCCTTACTTTGTCAGATCATTCATTCTGCTCTGTTCGATCACAGATCACAAGCCCAAACATTTTGGACACCCGACGCGCGATTCAGACCCATCAGCATCTCCACGACTACAGTCGCCAGTACAGGGGACAGCAGCCGGCGTTCGAATCCGGAGCGATCCTGGCATGCGATGGAGACCAAGGTGGGAAGGGGCACCATGCCATGCAACACGAAAGGGAGCTCCTTGGCTTTGGGAAGAGTTCAGGGTCAGGTCTGTGTCCGGCGTTGGTGATTTCTATCACAGCGCCTCAGCCTGGCAATCTAGTGGACCGCCTGCCAAGGAGATGTACTACCTCTTCATGTGTGTGTCAGTCATGACGGTGCCACTTGGATCCTTCGAAGGGACTTTGCGGCCTTTTGGTCTTTCGGGTTCGCGTGGGTTGTATTCAAGTCTGCGGTCACAGGGATGCAGGCAGCCCATGGCCGGATGCACCCGCATGACGCGGCACAGCCAAGTGTCGCGGGTCAGAAACCTCCAAACAATCCTAGCAAAATTCAAAGGTGAGCAGTCGCAAGCCCCCAGTTTAGAAGACTCCAGAAGAACTTCCTCTATCCCAATAGCCTCAAAGCCGCCCCTTCAAAACTTTTGTGCAGCTTAGGGCGCTGGTCCTCCGCACCCACCACGAAGCTTGGGCCACACACGTAGCTGGTACGTGAGGGTCGTGTGTGGCAGCACAGGCAAGTGCAGGGTGAGGGAGGAGAGGGCGCGCAGGTTCGGGCTGCAGGGGATTGACCATGTGCCCAGTGTCGCTCGAAGTGCCGAAATCTCACCGGATCGAAACACACACGGCTGAGGAAGGGGAGGGAAGAGCCGCAGTGGCTTATGATCTGAATCGGCTCCTGGTCGAGTCTTGGATGCAAACAGCCTGGCAAAAGTATCGCACACCTCTCGTGACTAGCCAGACCAACTACGGCAATGATGATTATGATGTTGATGATGCTGGTGATGATCGCGATGGTGATGATGCAGATGATGGTGACGACAAAATCTCACGAAGAGCGAGTTGCTGCTTGGCTTTGCTGGGCCTCAAGCGCGGCATATGTCTAAACTCCTGAGCCGTAAATCTCGGCCTGCCATGATGCTGATGTGCTTCCAAACATGTCCGAATTTTACTGACTGCTGACTTGGCGGCTCCGGAAATGCCCTCTTGCTACGCGTAACCTCACAAGCGCATCTTAGAGTCAGTCAGTGCCGGAGGCTGATTAGCAACAAGGAGAATGCTCAGCAACTCTATGCCTGCCCACTACCTTGCATCTACATGCCTCGCATGCTGTGCAGCATGCCAGACTCACCCTGTTTGTTTGATGCATTGGGATAAGTCTTCCTTCCTGAGCCTCGCTCGGGAAGGTTTGCTAGTTTCATGTTATTCATGTTGTTCCGACTGAGGTCATGGTTGCCATGCTGCTTGGATGCGAAATCATGATTAATGGCGCTTGGATGTGGGATAATTACTAAGTGGCTGTTACATTCGGCAGAGCTTCCTGTAACAGCAACCGTTGCAACATCATTACAGTATCTACAGCATTTATGAAATCATGGTCCGCTTGAGAGTGATGATCTAGTTTCTCAAGTTGCCAGCTGCACACAAGGCGAATCTATGCTGGCGTGGTTTCGCTTAGGCCGCTGACTTCGCGCCGCGGCTTAAGTGATACTCTCCGGTGAGAGAGATGCTCTTGATTTCATTCCAGGGTTTGCGAGGGTTGATCTTCGGCTAGCCACTTTCTCATGGGGGTCACCGTTTGAGAGTTGACTGGTGTTGATCTTGCTTTACAAGGGGATCACTGGTGTCGGGGGTTGTTCTGCTAGCAGGCTTGTGTGTTTTTGAAGGGGGTGTGAAGGGTTTAGTATGTTCAGGACGGGCGACACCAAACCTGAATCGAGATGTAGTAGCTTGTTTGTTCGTGACGCGAAGAGACGGAAGCCCAGAATGCGGTGAGGTTTTTCGCCCCCGGGGACCAGCGCCCCTTCGCGAAAAACGCGGCCGAGGATCACACCAGGCGGGTGGGGGGCCACGCCTGGTGAGGACTTCGAGAGCTTGAGCGCTTCAGGGTGATGGAACGGGAGTTAGTTTGTTTTGCGCGCTACCCTGAGCTAAAGGGGATAGCAAGCACGGTCGAATCTCAACTCGCCGAGAGTGATGTCTTCCGAATCATCCGGCAGTCAAGGTGATCTGAAAGGTATGAAGTTGTGATTCCTTCTACATGCATGTGTCATACCTGAGAGCCTAGTGTATGGCTTTCGCGAAATCGTTTTCTCAGTCAAATGGCCCACCGCATCGCCGTGGAGCTCGATGGGCCAGTGGCTTACTTTGTCCCCCTTTCGTACTTGCTCGTTTTTTTCGGGGGCTTTTTCGGATGCAATCGGGTTTTCTTAGCCGAGGATAAGAGTCAGGGGCTTCTGGGCTCAGGGTCCCGCGCCGGCAGAGTTTTGTTGGGGCTGGAGGTCATCTTGGCCTAAAGCCATAGTGTCAGTGTAAGTATGGCTTCCAGGTCGTCGCAACGCAGCAGCTTCCAGCGAATGGAAGTTTCCGGAAAGCTTTGAAGCGTGCTTTGTCGGTTTGATAGCTCCTTCCAAATCGGAAAGAACAAGAATACAACTTGGTCTACTTAATTATTTAGTTGCAGGTCAATTACAGCAATAATTACAGTTACAGTTTATGCGCTCATGTGATAATCCAAGCACGATTCCTCGGGACATCACAGAATTTGCAATCGCATAAACTGTTTTTGTTCGCCCTGGCTGCTCGGCTTGGACAAAAGGTCTTTAAAGGATCTAGATGGTCGACGTTGCAGTTGAGGAGGGCATGGTTTGAGGTCCCAAAGATGTACACGCTTCAAGTTACTTTCTATGCCAATTTTTCTCAACGTAGTCCAACAACTGACCAGAAGCCAGTCTGAAAAAAGCATCCTGGGCGTTGCAGCGATGACACCGCCGCTGAGCTGAGGCACCTCAGAGGCCTGGTCGTCCGTCGCGACCGGGGTATTCTCAGCCCCACAGTCTCTTTGGCTGGATCAGGATGGTGAAGGCTTCGTGGCTTCGTAATTCTCGTAGCACCTGGCTGAGGGCTTTGTGTTAAGGGTTGTAGGGTTCGGCTTTGGGCTGTGTGTGTCTAGGGTATAGGGTTTAATCATGGTCTTGGTTCCAGCTGTGTGGGTCCAAAAGCCTCGAAGATTATCTCTTGCTGGGACAGCAGGGCAGAGTTGAACCCTCACGCGCAGTTGCATCAGTTTGGGGGCAGATGAGAGTGAAACCAAGCCGGGAGCAGCCTTTGCTTTCCTCAGCAGCCCCAGGTCTTTCCAATGCTGGTCTTCCCACTGCTCTTCGTGCAGCAGCCCCGTGGCTACATCATCGACCAAAGCTGTCGCCGTAGGCATGACAGGTGCCAAAGCCCGGAGGTATGCTTCAACACTTCAAAACACAAAGCGGCACTAGTGTACGAACTAGCTTGCAGCAGGCATGCGCCATGCCATTTTCGAGGCCACTTACGACCATAAGTTGGTGTATGCTTCAGGTATAAGCAGCCTAAGCGCGCCCGACTGTGGTGAGCTTTTTGTTTTGTGAAAATGCTGCTGCCAATGACTTTTGAAGGGGGCAGAACCGCAAGCCTTTAAGTCCGAAAGGATGCCCCTGAACATGCTGTGATATGCTGTGTGCAGTTTGCAAATGACCTTTACTGAACTATTCGAAGTAGACCGTATGCTCGCGGAGGGAGACGCTCGTCTACTTCGGCGTGGCGCAGGTGGTGAACTTGCCTGCCAAGGCCTCCGTTTGAGGTAGGTTTAAGGGGTAGGAGGTGCAAGGTGTGGGATTTAGGAAGCTCGGCTCAGCAGTCGCGCACGGCGTGTTGCGTGTGCTTATTTAGCGACCATGTTTCTTGCGATCATGATTGCTGCGTTGTAAGAGCTCAGGGCGAGTCACACTGCAGAATCCTCCCCTGCTTCCTTCCCTGCTCTGCATCGGAGGAAAGTTCTGCTGGAATTGTTTTTCTGTAGGCGTGGGAGAGTATGCAATTTGGCTGAGTCGCTGGCTTTCATCTTCAGGTTGCCTCAGATCTATCAAGCAGAGAGCCCCAAGCCTTCCCGAATAACTGAGCCAAAGAGCCGCGAAGCTGTGAAGATCGGCGCTCCTTTGGTGGGCCTATGTTGGGCATTGCTAGCACCCAGGCCGCAGAAGATTATGCCGCCCTGTTTCAACCTTTCAAGCATGTAGTATACTACTGTGCTTGTGGTCCGCACTTTAGCCATGTAGGGCTTCGTAGGAAGGCAGGGTGTCTAGATTTCGTCTATCGGCTATCGGCATATGCCCTGGAGGGCACCACTCACAACTTGGGCCATATTTTGCCTTGCCAAGGAGATACCACGGCTCTGCAGAAGGGTGGCAAACATGGCGAAGGTGGGAGAACCAGAGCCATACCCGATTAGGAAGCTATCTCGCCTTTCCGTTCTGCACAAGAAAGGCCTCTTGTTGCTCTCGCCCAGTCTGCCCATCGATGGCAGGTTCAGGAGTTGCTGTCCCACTTGCTCGAACATGGCACCTTGGGCATGTCAGTTTGGCCAATGCCTGCGCTTCTCAAGCTCGTCGCCACGCCTGTTGGTTCTTCGTGCAAAGCAGCTCTGTCAAACTCAAACTAAACCCCATCCGCTTGAACACACCAGTTAGTTCTTCGCTGCCAGTGTGCGCATCGCCTTGCCAGGGGACGCCGCCCTCGTTTCCGATGTCTACCGGAGAGTGAACATGGCCAGCCTGCTGCAGGCAGTGTCGCGCACAATGCCCCAAAGACACCTACACAGGGGCTGGTGACTTCGTGCTGAGTTTTCAGACCGCGCGGGTGGATTTTGATTGCCTGCCGTGACATTACATATATGTATCATGCCAAGCCGGCGGTGCACCGGCTAAGCAGGGGCTTTGCGAGGTTGGAAGAGGGAAAGGGTTTGATTAAAGGAAGGATTCACACGAGAGTATGCAGATGCCGCTTACTGAACTATTCGCAGGTTTTCGCTGCAAGTTCCCGCTTAAACCAAAAACCCGGGAACCTTTCAGTTTAGACCTGCTTTCTCTCGCAGGCCACTGACTACGAAGTACACGAGCTGCTGGTCGAGAAAGCCTTGGACCAAGGCTTTGAAAACCCAGTTGCACCGTTGGTCCGGTTTGCGGGAAGTCTTCGAGTGAGAGGTAAGTCCCTTTCGGGGTTAGTTACATTTCCGACACGACTGCTTCGAGGTGGTCTTTGTCTCCTGACTTCACAACAGCCCCGATCCAAACGATGCACTAAGTCAGTAAGATCATGCGTCCTACAGCCTGCTCGTTGAGGCTGTTGTTTGGCGTGGACGGCGCATCCAAGCCGGTTGCGAAGCAGAACAAAGAACTTACAAGCATCGTGTCCAATCATGCAAGACAGCCGAGAACCGGGGCCCTGGGCTAATCCTATTATATCTTTTCCCGTATATGTCGCCCGTGGTCCTAGCAGCGAGGAAGAGATGTTGCTATTTTCTCCTTGGAACCCTGGCCCTGACCTCCATGTTCCTACGGCCTTCCCGGAGGAATGCTGAATGCACTGGCAAAGGCTGTTTTGCTGAATGCCGCTTGGTGGCACCGGACTCCTGGTCCTATATGCACAGAAAGAGTCCTAAGGGGATGCAGAAGTACGGCATCTCCAGGAGGCGCTTGGACTACGTTCTCGATGCAAGTCTGCAAATTCTGCCTTCGTTTGCGCCAAGAAAACTGCTTGTGTTACGGTGGCCTCGGGCATAGGAAAATGAAGGCCGATGGCAAGCATGGTGTGTCTTTGTGTGTGTGTGTGTGACAAGTAAGTTGGCTGCTCCAAGCAGCATTGGGTATTTGGCCGTGTTTGTGGGTTACAAACACGGCCTTAAGGCTCGTGATTTGGGAAGCTCAATGCATGCTTTGCAGAGAGATGCGCACCAAGGATCTGATTCAGAGCTGCAAGGCTGCAGAACTGACGGAGTTGAAAGGCTTTTTGGACAGAGTCTTGGCTCCAAATGCGCGACTTTCCAGGATCTCTCACTTGTTTCTTACCGCTCAGCCGCACACTTGTCACTTGAGTCAATTCGGTTGCCGGCAGCGCTGGTGTAGCGGTTCACGTCCCAGGCACTGGAGACTACAACAGCTTGTACAAATTGGTGTATGTCGACATCAAGGATTCAAGCGCCCGCGATCAGGTCCGGTGCAAAGGGGCTGTTCCAAGACTGCTTGTTTGACTGCCGGTCCCGTGTCCCAGCTTCTTCGGTTCTCCCGGGAGGTTCTCAGCCATATCCACACGCAGTCGTGCATCGCCAGGACGGGGCCTCTCCCACCTAGACTACTGCATGTCGACAGCACATGTGTCGCCGCACAGGAGGCAAGCCGGCGGAGCGGTGGGCATCAAGGCCAACTGCGGCCGAATGAATTGTTTGATTATTTCAACTCGGGAGAGCGGGGACAGGCTGAAGTCCCGAACGCAGCAGGTCGCAACAGGCAGCAAGTTTGAAGGTCCATTTATTTGTTGAGACGGTCACAGAGCCAGCGAGTGAGAGAGAGTGAGAGAGAGAACGAGAACCGAGGGGCAATCCAAGGAGTCTGAGCTAAGTCGTGATATATATGTTGGGGTTGCTTGTGGTACTTCAAGGTTTTTGTGCACGGGGCGAGGACTCGGGGGGCTGTTGGCTCTCCAGGCCTGGACGTTTCCAATGAGCGGGGGGCGGCTTGAGGCCACTCCGCCGCTAAATTTAGGCTCGCAGGGCCCACGACGCAGCGGACCAAGAGGCGATCCACCCGAACCTGGACTTGGACGAGGACCCGGAGCACCAGGGCAAGTCGATGACCGACTACCTTTCCCTGGAAGTATCGAGGCCGAGACGCCGAAGAGCCGCTTCGCTGTGAGGAGGACGCCAACCAGGGCATCTCAGTGAAAGTGGCAAGGGTCCAAAGAATGAGATCCACAAACTACGTGGAGGAACCTCAGCCCGAGGGGGAACGAAAGGGCATGGGAAGGGTTACAAACCTCCGCCCTTGATGAACACCAAGAGATGCAGACGAACGGCTTAAATGAACCACGTGGCCACCAGTTTTTGAACGTACATAGCTGGACCAGCTTTTGCAAGTGCCGGGGGACCCGGCATCCGTGCACAAACCTGCTGCCTTACGCTCAAATGTAGGAGAGGCGACTTTCACTCAGTTTGTCCTAACTTCAATTTGTGATGAGGGGACACTCACCAAACTTTCCTTGAACCCTAGAATGGCGTGCCTGCAGCAAGCACGCGGCTTGCGGGGCCATCAGAGCACGTTTTTCTTTCCCCTCGCACACACACAGACACTCTTTCTTTGAAGCTGACCTGCCTCCACGGGGCCAGTCCAGTCTCCCAGACGGTCCGCGAAACCAGCGTACAGCCAAGCCCCTCGACCAAAATGGTGGATGGGGTAGCGCCTGGAGCGCAGGTTGAGGGGACTGCCCTCGGCTTTAACCAAGCAAAGCAAAGAGAGAAAGAGATAGGACACCAAGCCCAATGTAAGAAGGAAGTGAAGTCAGCAGAGAAGGGGAGCGAGAGAGCGAGCGAGATGCCCGGGAGCCGCGGAAATCCCGCACAGAGAAAGGCTCAGCACACGCGAGTTGGCCCAGGCCAGTAGGGTTGAATAGAGCATGGGACGCAGTCATCGGGGCTAGGGGCCAATTCGCGATACGCAGGGCTGAACCTTGGAAGTGTCACACCCGAACTCGGGCAGTGGCGTAGCGCGAGAGCGCAGGGTGCAGGGGACTCCTTTCCCTGTGCCCAAGTGCAAGCAAGCAAGCAAGCGAGAGAGAGTGGGAGCACATGAACAGCAAAGGTTAAGTCAGTGTTCAATGCTACTCCGCCACCGAAGGTTCTTAGCGACATCGATGACACCCTACTTTGCAGTGGCGGCAAGTTCCCGGCAGGTACCTTTGCAGTAGTCGGCTCGCAAGCTAAGACCCCTCGCGCTGCCACCGTGCACAGGTTGTGACGATCGGTGCCTGGGCTGCAATTCAAGCGTTGCCTTGAATGGCTGCTCATATGATGGTCATGGCGAAAACCCGCAGCAAGTAACTTTGTGGTTTACACAGACCTCTAATTACACCTATGATCTACAATCCCGGCATCATAACAATGTGAGCATATTTGAGCCTGGTGCAAGATGTCAACTTGGTCGTTAAGAGCATGTTTGAGAAAGCAGTAGCAGATCAGTCCGGCAGCGCCGGCAAGGTTGCACTGCTCTTGCTGTTATTCATATAACCATGAGAAGCTATGGTGTTCACTGGTCCAAAGAACAACAACCACTACCGCCGCAACTCCAACAGCCCCGACAACAATATACAACAATTAGAGTAGCAGCAGCGACGCCCGACGACGACGTTACATCGAGAAATTGCCGTCGCTACCACAACAACGGTCAGACTGGCAATATCATGCTGCGGCCCCAGCATCAGCAGGGCATGTGGCAATTAGTGATGACATGACAAAGCACGATTGTACGCCGTTGCATTCGTCCTTTACACGGAGCAAAAGTGACATAAATCCGAGTAAATGTATAACTCTGGACAAGGGGGTGAAGACTGCAATGCAAAGGCTGGCTGAAGGTATAACAACATCCCAGGATACCTCAGCACATGGTCTACCCTGGCTGCGCTGCTTTGTTCAAAGCTCTGGACAGGCGAATGTTCTTGGGGAGGGCATTGTGGAGTTTGGCTCTTTCTTGCAATGGGGAGGTGGAATGGTTGCGGCAGGTACATCGGGAGCTGTACACGTCAATTTGATTGTGGTACTCGTGCTACTTACTCCTGCTCCCACACCACTGCTCAACTTTGTCTTGGTTCGAGTTGCTGTAAATGGCGAGGGCTGCTTCTATCTGGTTCACGCAATCGTTTTCGGTACTTGCGTTACCGGAAACCCACCTCACCAAAAGTCCATGAACCCCAGCCGAATCCTAAAAAAATCTGAATGTTTCAGCGTTATTGTCTAAGATCTTTTGACTTGCATAGCTCGAGTGTTGAGTTAAAGGAGCAGCATCCAAAGATGCCTCTAAGCAGACTGCAAGAGGATGGAAGGACGTACCCCGAGCCATTATTCTAGTGACCCAAAACTTGACATGGTAGTTGCACCTCCGCTTGGCCTGTTTCCAAAGCTTGGGGTTTCATTTTGAAGCCTGTATTGCCTCAAGCCTGGGAACCTGTCAAGTTGATTTACAGTAATGCGTCAAGGTGCCGGATGCACGATTGCAAGGTGCATAAAGGGGTCTTTGTCTTGACCACCGTGGTTTCAAAAGCTATGCGTCCGCAGGGACTGGTCACCAGATGTTGCCTCGTGCAACTTGGTCTTCCTTTCGGCGAGACCACATCTTTACAAGGACATGGGCTAGCGCGTGAAGCAATTGTAGCAACGGTGGCAACCGAAAAGTGGTACATAGATGTGCTGGTGGCTATGCAACCACCATCTCCACGACATGCCGTCACCGCGACAACAACCAACAGCATCATCACCATCATGATAGTATTATCAGCAGCCGCTGCACAAGCAGCGACACCTGCTGCTGCTGCTACTACTACTACTACTAATAATAATAATGATAATAATAATGATAAGAATAATAATGATAAGAATAAGAATATCTACCACTACTACTACTCCTGCTGCTGCTGCTACTACTACTACTACTCCTGCTGCTGCTGCTACTACTACTATACTACCACTACTACCACTACTACCTACCACCTACCACGTACCACGTACTATGTACTACTACGACGACTACTACGAACAATCATAGTAACCAAAAACAATACTGACACACACTACTGCTGCGGCTATGGGTACTGCTACTGCTGCTGCTACACCTACTACTACCACTACTACTCTACTACTACTACTACTCCT